GGAAATGCGCACAGAGGGTGTGAGCACAGGGGCTGTTCAACGTCATCCTGCCCCCCGTCCCTGCCCTTCGTCCCATTCGCCGTGTCCACCCCAGTCCCCTGGCTCCGAAGCCCCACGGGCCTCAGTGGCCGAGACCTTGGCTGGGCCCCTTCGAGGTAACGGCCTCCTCCTTCCGCAGCAGCAACTATAATTTACAACTAAAGGTATCGGGTCAGAGCGCCTCCCCCTCACCGCCCGAGGGTTAACGGCCGGAATAATTACGGCCCCATCAGCGGCCAATTACTGCCCAGCTCAGGCACATAATTTTATATGGAACTTTATAGGGGACACTTCATTACCCGGCTCCGGCACCCAAGGGAGGGTGACCGGTCCGACAGGGGCTGCTGTGGGTGCTCAGCTCAGGAGCGCCCAGAGGCGGGGCCCCAGGACCCTGCACTGCGCACCCTGCGCCTTCCTTTCAGACACCATCTCCAAGGGCACAGGGACACATCTTGGCTGCAGGCAGCCCCCCCACTCCCCCAAACCCACCCCCTGTTCAGCCCCACTTCCTGAGTGAAGCGGGAGAAACGGAGGCCGGCCGCCCCGGGGGCTCACCTGGAGCCAGGACTCACCATCGAGGCCAAACGCACCATGAAACGCAGAGCCCTGTGAACAGGTGGTTAGAAAAGCCGGGCCCTGGCTGGTCTGCCTCCGTGGGTGGAGCGTTAGCCCGAGGACCAAGGGTCCCGTGTTGGCTTCCCGGTCAAGGGCACGTACCTTGGCTGCAGATTCAATCCCCAGTCCTGGTCGGGGCGTGTGCGGGAGGCAAGCGATCACTGTGTCTCTCTTGAGTCAATGTGTCCTTCCCCCTCCCGCCCACTCTAAAAATCAATGGGAAAGTATCCTCAGGTGGGGGTTAAAAAAGAAAAAAAGGTCAAGAAGGCAGCGGTAGCTGGAAACCAATGCGGGGCCCTTCTGAGAGCTGGGCCCCCCTGAGCCTGGCCCCCTGAGCACGAGGACCTGTGGGACAGCCAGGTCCCGGTCCCCAGCAGATGGAGCGACCGACAGTGGTACCCCGGAGGCCCATCACCTGGACAACACGCCTTGGGCCACAGTGCCTGGTCACAGATCACTTCTGAACGATGAGGGCCCCCCCTGCCCATCCCCCACCCAGAGGGAGCTTTTCGAAAGTCACAGTGAGCGATGCCCAGGAGCCACGTGAGGCCCAGGAAGGCTTCCTGGAGGCGGCGCCTGGGAAGGGAGAGGAGAGGACGCTGCAGAGAGGGAGCGACTTGTGCACAGGCCCCGAGGCAGGAGCAGACGCTCCCGGGGCCCACGGACACGTTCCACTCAGCAAACGCTTCCTGCGCACAGACCGCGTGTCAGGCGGGAGCGGGGCCGGCCATGTCAGCAAGCAGCCTCCCCAGATGTTCACCACTTCACTTCCCCAGAAGCGGGACCACTGGCTCCTTGCTCCTCCCACTCCCTCACTGCTCATGGCTGTGGCCTGCAGGCCAGGTTTGCTCCAACTGCTCGGGCTGGGCAGTGGGCATGAGGCCCACAGCTGTCCAGGGACAAGGCTCGGGGGGAGGAGGAGCCATTCCTCTGGGTTACAGACCTCGAGCCGCACCTCCCAGCCCCCTTCGCCGTGATGAAGCTGTCGGGCTGTGCCCCGTGGAAAGCGTGTTCTCTGTGGAGACAGACGGTCCGG